AGAACCATCTGTAGGCTGGGGTGTGTCTGTGTGTACATTACAAGCATGCACACACTGTGCAGGTGTATTCACCTGCTGGGCTTACCATCCACAGAAAAAAATACATTTTTTTACATTCCAATTTACAAAAAAACCCAATTGGGAAACCTAAAAAAGTGACCAAAACATAGTATAATGTACTGCAAATTCTTTAAAACTTATATATATCACAAGATGAAAGACAGACATTTTCGTTGTTTCTTGAAGAATGCAGTTATTTTTAACAAGACTCTGTAAAGTCCTGTGAATCTTTTTCTTTGACTATCAGTCTCTCACATCACTGTGGAGGAATTGTGGCCCTCTTTTCTTTACAGCCTTGCTTCAGCTCATTAAGGTTTGGAGGCATTTGTTTATGCACCAAAGCATTTACTTGGGTTGAGGTCTGGACTTGCACTGGACCATTACAGCAGCCTGATTCTTTTCTTTTTTAGTCTTTCAGTTGTAGATTTCCTGCTGTGCTTGGGATCATTGTTAGATGACCAAATTTCAGCTAAGGCCTTAGCTTTCAGACAGATGGCCTCACATTTGACTCTAGAATACTTTGGTATGGTTGATTCAATGACTGCAAAATAATCAGGTTCTGTGCTTGACAGCTGCTATGTTCTTCTTAGATGGGAGAGGCTTTCTCTGGGCAACCATTCCACACCTGCCATACCTGTTCGGTCCTTTTCTAATTCTACTGTTACCTAAGGTCTGCAGAATTTGAGATGTAGCTCTTTTTGGGGAATTTCTTTTAGTCTTTTATATTCTAATTTTGAGATGAATTTACACAAATGTCCACTCTTAGGAAGATTGTGGAATTGTGCTAAATGATTTAGCGCAGAACACAGGCAAAATGTAAGCTTTTATAGAGGTGTCACACTTGCTGGTGATCCATTCATTCTTATTTAAGGATTTCATAGAGTCCTGTGAAATCTTGCTCATTTTCTGTTTGATGTTTGCAGAATTAAAAGGTCAGGACAAGGTCACAATTCTCACTGTGCGACATACATTTTTATTCCAACAATAATTTACTTCTGGGAGACTCTAACAGCATCAATATTATGGATTACCCTAATTATTCATAAGATGATGAAGATTGCAGGGCTTTTCCATTATTTAATTGCTCCCTTTTTTGACAATGTTTTGCTATCATCAAATTCAAAATGAGCTTAAAAATGTACAAATAGATTCAAAATACAGATAAATTATAAAATCTGTTTCACTTATGGTGTCTTTTGAGTAAAATATTATAAATGAGCTTTAAATTATTTGAATACATTTCACATTGAATTCTGTTTACACGGTCTTCCAGCTGAGTCAACAGCAGTTTTATCAGTTAATTTATTCTCAGTTTTCTAACAGTTTCTTTTACAGTTTTTACAAAATGTATTATAATATACACTTTCATTTTGCCTAATTGTTCACTCCAACCACTTGATCTTTCAATATGAAATCAAAAGGAACTCCCAGCTACACTCAGGGCCCCCCCTTCTTCTGATCTGGAGTATTGGTCAGATATAATCTTTATTTGGGCAAGTCTGGGCCTGCCAAGCTGGTTAATGAATAGTCATGAGAGAAAGAAAAGAGGTGGAGCAAGGATTTGTTGTTAGATGCAGAACAAGGAGAAGGCCCAGTAAAGTAAGGGAAACAAGTGGAGAACAGAGGCAGGACATCTTTTTTCCCTCCATCATGCCCTGCTCTAGAGCAGGTTCACCTAGCAATGGAGAACTCAGCTATTACAGTCACCCTTGAACAGAGTCTTATGAGAGACATCGTAGAAACACAGCTTATTTTTTTAGAAGCTCTAAGATGCTGTTGGATGTGGTAAGTGAACGAGTGTAATTTGCTGATGTTGGGTCATATTCCTTCCTTTTTGCTTTTGGAAACTGCACACTTAGAGGAGAATATCTCATATTACTTTGTTTGAAACTTGGTGTTCGTTGTAGAGCAACTGTTTTTCAAGTCAATGGCAGTGCTCATTACTCATCATGCTGTTAAGACGCATGGATGTGTAAGATGTGCTTGAATTGGAGCTGCTCTTGAATTAAAACAATTTGATTAGTTTGGTGGAAAGATGGAGATAGTTTTATCACTACTTAATCAAACTGGATTATTATGGAAATTCTATGATAAAGCACAAGCAGAACTCTCAAACACATCCTTATCATACCACTATATTCCAATATTAATCACTGGGTTTTAGAAATTGACCAAAACATTAACGTGATTTACTTTTTGCTTGAAAATTCTCTACAGAGAATTACAGCATCTACAGATCACTGTCAAAAATGAAATTTATATCCTATTCCTGCTCTTTGGAGATATTCCCAATAGAGGGCAACCTTCTTACACCGCACACCACTCTTTACCTCCACTTCTCCTCACCTCTGTTTAACATGGCTGGTGTCGTTTAGACATGCTTCACTTTTGATATATTACCAGACCATTCATTTATGCAGCACAGTTATTCTTTTTGGTCATGCTGTTTCCTTAAATCAATTGGAAAATATAAATAGTTGAGATATTGTGTTGTTAAGTGCTGAAAGCTGTTTCATTGAGTAAGTGGCTCTGGTCATTAGGATTTAAACTGTCTCTTTATCCTCAGCCTATTATGTTTCACTCATCTTGACAGGTGAAGGTTGCTGCTGCTGCCTGAAGTAAATGTTTTAAGCCTTTAAAACTTTTCTTTGAGTGGCAGCTACCAGGATGACTGCCCATAGGGGACATCAGACGCTGCTGGGCTGGGAAGTGTAAACACTTAGACACATCGTATCGCGCAAACACATTTACTCACATAGTTGCAGTGGAGGTTTTAGCTCTGTTTCAACTTGTTATGGATTGAGTTTAGGTATTAAGACCAAGCACAACGCACCTGTGAGTGTGAGTCTCTCTTGCTCTCTCAGTGTGTGTGTGTGTGTGTGTGTGTCTATGTGGGGGCGTAGGCGTGGGTGTGTGTGGCGTTTTCTGTTGTTGACACATACACCTGGGCTTCTCTTGTGCCTCTAAAGCCCCTTTGATAATACCTATTAGATGGAAAATTTCAAAGGTGGTAAGCGCTAAGACACTAGAGGGATGTCAGAGTGATTTGTGTGCACTTTTCATGAGAAGACAAAAAAAGCATTAATGCTGATATTTGTCATGTTTTTAAAAAAAAAAAAGGATATGCACGTTCATCTAAGTTGATGCTATGAATGTGCTTCTTTCTGTTGTAAGATTATACATTTAAGACATTTGATATGAATGCTGGGAATTACATTGCATGTCTATTAAGCATTAATTAATTTTCCCTCTTTATCTGTTTATCCCAGTTGTATCCTGTGTGAGGTGCCATCTCACATAAACTCACGTTAGTGTCAATGTATGGCTCCAAAGTCCCACGCATGCGTGCATCCTCATTTAACCTGCATCGTTTGCATTAAGTCTTGGACATTGACCTGTGCTTTTGCTTTCAGCTGCTGAACCATGGCATAGAAACACACGAGGTTTACGTATCCTTGTGTAACTGTATTAAATTTTGTGTCCTTGTAAGTTTCAGCGCTCAAACTTAAAGTAATAAGTAGAAGAGCCCTGGGGAACGATCGTGTGGTGAAGTGATCCAATATAGTTTCAGTTTATGGGGAAAGTGAATAGAACAAAATACAATAATGAAAAAAGGAGAAGTGCAGTGGTGGGCCAGGTAAATGATCACTAAGCTTTCCCGTGTGACACATGATTCTTCAGATAAATGTCCCTGTGAATTCAGATTCATCTCAGATTCATCTTACTTCCAGTCACAGTTTATAGATTTTTCAACTAGTCCCAGTCTGACAATTTATAAGTGGTATAACTGCTTTTGTGCTAATTAAATATTACTACCCTAATCCACCTTCCCACACAACCTTAGATGAAACAGTTTGTTTAACGATATTCACTGTAATTACATGCTCATGGATGGATTTTGACTTAAGCAAGTTTCATCCTTCTTTATTAAGGCTGGCAAAGTTTGGAAAAGTCTGTGCTAATTTAATGTTGTATTGATTGTGGGGGTATGACTGAGTGGCGGGGGTATCTGACCCTTGAACGCTTGTCCTTTCATATGCTGTTCTTCTTGCCTCTCTCTCTGTCTCTGTCTCTGTCTCTCTCTTTCTCTCTCTCTCTCTGTCAAACCAGACAGTGTTTACTTAGTGCAGGCCTTCACAAGGTGTTTTGGAGCATGTGTGTACATGCACCCCGGCATTGCCGTCTATGTCCGGGCATGCCATAATTAGAATGTCGTACAATTTTTTGGGTTCCCATCCCTCTTTCCCTTTCTGCTTCTCTCCTCTCATCTCAGTCTATCGTTTCTCTCTCTCCTCACCAGTCCTCACCTTTCTTCCCTGTCCTGGCAGTACATGCGCCTATGTGTGAGTGAGTGAGCGTGGTATGTCCACTGATGCACACCTTGCTTGAACTCTGTGGTTAGGCTCTGGTCCAGCACTCTCTTTGGTTTGCTGTGTTTGGACGTTTGACTGACTGAAGATTTGACAAATGAGACCAAAGCAGTAGAGGATGTACTACGTGAAGAAGAAGGTAAAGGCTTTTGTTTTTGTTTGGTTTTGGAGGGTTTTTTTTCGGTATGTGTGTGGAATAGAAACGGTTCAACTGGAAGCTGCCATCAGCTTCAGTTGTTTGACACGTGCACAATGCGGGCAACAGGGATGAATCCAGGAATGTGTTTTCACACTAAAGATTATTTTTGGTTTTCAGAATATTCTTTGCTGCCGACTTTTTCTTGTTCTGTCTCAGTCAACTGACTATCTATTGGTTTCATGTTATTCACAGATTGTTTTAGTTTGAAGAGCAGGAGGTAGACTGTGGTGGACTGCAGCTTGTGTTTTCTAACTTTTTTTGAAATCACATGTTTTTAATACTTTTTCCTTCTACTGTAGCTTTTGAGTTTAAAAACAAAATGCAGGCCTCACACGAGACACTAGCAGAGTTCAGTACATCAAATCTTTTTTTTCATCCATCATACCGAAGAGAGAAAAGAGAAATGGCAGGCAATTAGGCAGATCACTCCTGTGTTTTACAACTCTACACCTCTTATAGCCCCGAGGAAGGTACAGTGTGGACCTCACTGCAAGTGCCATTCACAGATTCACCTCTACACACCTGTTGATGTCGTTTTTATGTATAAATCATAAAATAGTTACGCATGCCCCCACACACACTGTGCATCACGCGCACTACCCACATCTCCCTTCCAAGTGTAACCCGACCTTCCTTTGAGCCTCTAAGCCCCTGTCTCTGTGACACCTCTACCTGTGTCCTCCCTCTGCCTTTTCCCCTCCCTACCTCTTCACCTCCCTCATTGCCTTTTCTCTTCATTTCTTCACAGTCCCAGTACAACTTGCTGAGCAGCAGCATGGAGAGTCTGGGGAGCCGTGCGACATCCACCAGCCCCTACAGCTCCGAAAACGCCTCTTCGTCGGCCGTGCCCACCCCCTCACCTTACTCCCAGCCCAACTCCACCTTTGAGGGCTTGTCGCCTGCCCCTGCCATCCCTTCTAACACCGATTACCCTGGGCCACATGCCTTCCAGGTGTCCTTCCAGCAGTCCAGCACAGCCAAGTCAGCCACATGGACCGTGAGTATATACACACACACACAAACACACTGTTGTGGCTATGATGTGTGCTGGTGTATGTCTGTGCATGCAGGCTTCTCTTACTCTTTCTAGCTCTCTGTCTTACTAAGTAACTCCCTTGAACACACATAAACATGCACACAAAGACACTCGTTCACATGGACACTCACTCAAGTCAGTACATGTGCAGGCGTGCTATGTGTAAGCGAAAGTAGCGCACGACTCAGTGATTCATCTTGTCCTGTACTCACCTTTTATGAGTCTATTCTGTGTTAGTCTTTTGGAAGACTTTGTTTGGTTTCTTTAAGCAGTTCGAGTGAGAAATAAAAATATCATATCATATGAGTTTATGTAATTTAGAGGTTATTTTGATTCATATATTTTGGTGTACTGTCTTTGAGTATATTAGAAATTGCTGCCTCATGTGTTGTTTCACTTTATCAGTGCAATAATCCATTTTAATGATAATGTAATTACACAAATAGTATTTTAAGGTTGCTTGATTATGGCAAAAATCATCGTCATGTTTTGGGGTTTTTTGGTCAATATCAATAGGTCTTTATTTATAGCCAATGCCTGAACAGATTGTAGCACAACTTCAAAAACATAGACATTGTGTTATTTTCTTAGCTGACTGTAACTGCGTGTAGACTGATTTCTACTTGATTGAACTGGGATAAAAATTCACATTGGATGTGATGTTTGCCTCTTCTACTCCTCTAGAATGAGCTACATTAACAGCTTTCAGCTGGAATTCAAACTTTTGAGGTAGTATTTTAAAAAAATAATAAAGAAAAATCAGAAGAATATGAGTATTGGAAATGTACACACCAATTATCAATTCCAATGAACGCAATGCACACAACTACTTTGTGATGTGATTGTGGTGAGGGGTAGGTGAAATAGAGGCTGTGTGTGTTGATATGACCCGATGAGAAGTCTGTTCTCCTCAAAAAGTGTCACCTCCAACTGTCTCACAGTTGACCTCCCAGAAACAAGTGAAAGATAAAGCGCACTTCCTTCTGTGTGTGTGTGTGTGTGTTTGTCTCTGTGTGCATTGAGGCCTGTGAATGTGTCTGTGTGATAGATTGAGATCCTCTGCGTATGTGTTTGCTAAAGTTAATCATGCATGGTGAGCTTCTTCATTCAGCCCTCAGTGATGTAAGAAGATCCTCCTCTGGACATTGGAACTGTGGTCTTTGACCTGTTGCTTTTCTTTCTCTGTCTCTTTCTTCCTCCGGTCTTAGCACACACTCATGTCTGTCACCTCTGGCGCCTAAAGTTCCCCCTCTTCTCTCCTCTGCTCTTCTCTCCTGCCCTTGAGTATACCTGTCATCTCCTTTGTCTAACTTCTATTCTCATCCATTTCATTAAATCTTCTGCCAAAACACATCCACAGAAATCTAAGAAAGCATGCACAAAAATATTAGTTTGACCTGATGACTTACTGCCATGAAATGATCCGAAAACTTGTTGTGACCTGTTTGGTTTAATGTGTTACTTACTATTTACCCTGCCTTTTTCTACCTAACGTGCCATTTTAAAGTTCAGAATGCATCTTTTGACTTCATTCAGAAAGTACATAACATCCGAAAAAGAACTCTAACAATACCGTTTAGCTTTGAATTAAAAAATCAATAAAAGCCTGCCAACAGACCTCTTGTTTTTACAGCAAAACTCTTAATAGTTTTTGAAAACTGTATTTTGCTACAATTTTAACAGAACAGAAGAGAAATAT